ACCAACAAACAACAAATTATTGAATTCTAGGTACTTAACCAAACATTTTCAAACCAACAAAGAGTATATATGTTAACAACACTTGCTCAAACTTACCAATTGTTTATGCAAACTTTCAGCACGCGGATGCAGGTAGGCAAGGTCTCGCATATATCGCTTGAGCCATAAAATGTCGAAACCATAAGCCTACTCCACCTCTATCTCTATCTGTGGGAGGTAGAAGGTGTTTACTTCCTGTCGTCAAACGCTCCAAGCACATGCATACAAGAGGACCACAATCCCCTCTGGCTCCCTCCGTTTATTGTGGCGTGGTATCGTCTCTGATCATTGTAACTTTAAACTTTTTTGGCTTCTTGTTTCCAGAATTAGTCCAATAATCAATCGCATCCAAGTATTTCACCAAATGAGCACTCCATCCCTTACAAATAATATCTCTCAAATCAGACAATGATATGTAATTCAACTTGCTGTCATATACCATTGTCTTCAGGGATGGGAGTTGAAGCTCGACGAGAAGCCAATGACGACGTTCCAAAACAGGGATAAACACCTGCAATCATAAATAATTGCACACATCAAATAAAATTTATGAAAACCTTTAAAATATTCAAAAAATAAATACTAACCTTATCGACCTCCCACCACGCAGGATAAAGTTTAGCTTTTCCATTACCCAACGTATATAAAGCATCTCTCGGATCCTTCAAGTGAGCTACGTGAAAAGACGTCGGCATAATAGTCCATCGAGTATTTCTTATTTTCCTAAATTTCCTTATTATTAGAAGACGTGACACCCATGCATCAATATGTTGTTTTATAAAAAAATACATATATTAGTGAATTTATTAATAATTTAAAAAAATTAATCAAAATGCAATATAAAAAGAATATAAGACTTACCACCCCTTCGAGATATCCATTATCTTCAACCCCTAATAAAATACCCCACCAAGACCGATCAAGAAACAAATGCATAACATCGTCGAGTTTGCATAGGTCAGAATAACACCCATTGCTCCACTCATGTAGATAAAAATCAACTGCGGTCTTAGCCCAAAGGGTATTATCCGTAGTTGTGTCCGGTAGTTGCTGTGGTACCTGGTAACACATACGAAAGCCAACTCACATCCATTATATCAGGCACGAGAGGGAGTTTATCAATATGTCGACATATGACGCCATGTGAATCGGGCTCTTGAACGGCGAGTGGGACATCTTGAACGATGACAGGGGCCTCTTGAACGGTGGGAGGAGCCTCTTCGATGATGAGATGAGCCTCTTGAATGATAGGAGACGCCTCTTGAACGATGATAGGTGCATCGGGCTTCTTCTTAAGGAGTCTTGGCACTAGTGGGGTGAACGGAGACGTAATGGCACGTGCACGACGTCTGATGCGTGAACCCCGTCGTGCAAAAAAAAACCCGACGTAAAGTATCTACCTTATCGGGCCGCTGAAAATAAATTAATACATAAATCAATAAATAAATAAATATATAATGCCGAAAAAAGGTTATTTACATTTTTAGTATAATATTAAACAAATTTACCTCATTGCGTAGAGTATGAACCTTATTCTGTAACGATGAAACAATCTCGCGTAGAGCGGCAACCTCATCACGTAAAGTAGATACCTCACCACGTAGCGCACCATTGTCATTGCGTAAAACATCCATCTCACCACGTAAAGACTGAACCTCATCACGCAATGCACCATTATCTTCACGTAAAGTACCGACCTCATGACGCAAAGCACCGACCTCATCACGTAACTCCCTTAACTCATTCCGTGGAGGTGGAGAATAGGGAGATAAATATCATGGCCTCTTTGCCGGTCGCCTATCATGAGGTGATGGTGGAGAAGAGGCTTGATGATGTGATGGAATAGGTGATGATGGAGGTGAAGAAGAGGCTCGATCAGGTGATGGCTCCGGGTGTCGAGCTGTAGAATCGACCCGATCAGGTGATGGCTCTCGAAGTGGGGGGTGCTCATCATCCATCCCATCAAAAAATCGCTTACTAGCTTGCCACTAATCAGTGGCAAGCTCAGCCTCTGTGGGTGTCATCCTTTGTAATGGATAGTTGGCCTCCTAACAATATAAAAACTTAAACAAAGTTAAATGTGTACTAGTAATAACTTATTTATATATGGTATTATTTGTGTGTTAACTTACATCATTCATCGTCGTATATGGGAGTAACTCTTCCCAATCCAACATGCGGATCCTCTTCCAGGTAATAGCCCTAGGAATATCATTTGATTTTTTATCGCATATGTCCACATGCTGGGGAAAGCCTCAAATATCCAAATCTACAAACAATATAATACACAAACATTAGTAATTGTTAAATAATTAATTATAATTTTGGAAACATTATATAGAAATTCTTACCTTAAAGGCCCAAGTAAAGCCTGTCAAAGTGTATTTAGAACCATCTCCCCGCAAACTTTTTCGGTCCTCAAAGGTAGACGAAAACTTCTTCCAGGTAGCTTTCCATAGATATGAACCCCACGGAAATAGGTTCCATGCATTTAGGTTCTCTACCAATAATATTAGGTCCTCAGAGATAGGTTGTCTGCCCTCTTTGCCTAAAAAGCCGGCATGCAAAAGTAATAAATGGCATACTCGGACAACATCAAGGTCTTCCATCCGAGTAAAACCATCTTTAACAAATAATCTCTTCAAGTCGTCGACGTGTAAACTCGGCTTCGACTTTGCCAGCTCAGGAAAAACCCGAGATAACCATGATGGGCGGGAGATATGACTAGTGTATCGGGTTACATCATCGTGTCCGAAGCGTAGACCAGTGATTAAGCAAAACTCCTCCCGCCCAAAATAAGTATACGCCGGAGGAAAATGAAACCATATCTCTTCATCACCACGTTGTATCCTCTCGGGTAGATCGTTAGTCATGGTCTGAAGAAACAAATGTGTCAACATAGCATCTCCACCCGGATGTTGTACTTTCAGCTATGGCCCGAAGCAAGTATCCTCAAACAATTTTCTTTATAGAGGTGTAAGCGTCGACGCAATTTTAGTGGCTATGCTTAATTTATTCCTTAAGGTCAATGCAACCGAAAAAAATTTCTACAAAAACAATAAACATACAAAGTTAGATATACCAAAAACTACAAATTATACACTATAAACAGACATGATATTAAACAGTGAAAACAAAGCCAAATATGTTTCAAACTAGCAGGTATTCACCCAAGTCATTATTCCATCATAGTTCACAAAACATCAGATAACATTCCAGAAGTAAGCACTTATATAAACATTTAAAAGGACAACATATAGGTTTAGTGCAGGTTCAAGGACAACATAAAGAGTAGTAATTTATTCTTGAAACTTAAATTCGCAACACTGTGAAGTTAGTATTTGTTTTTGTTTTTTGGTTGAAGTAATGCAATTCATTCAAGTTTCAATTTGCAGAATAAGAGTAGTTTCTGAAACTTAAATTCGCAACGCGAAAATGAAAATTCGATTTTCATTTTCGCGTTGCGAATTTAAGTTTCAAAAACTATTCTTCTGCAAATTGAAACTTGAATGAATTGCATTTCTTCAACAAAAAGACAAAACAAAGACAAATACTAACTTCACAGGGCAGTATTGGCAGCAACCGAATGAATTTACTAAGCAATCTAAGTGAAATGGTTATAGATTATATATTGAAATTACCAGTAAATTTATCATCAATATCAGAAAAATCTAATAATAATACAACAATTTTAAAATAAAAATAAGAGATTAAACTAACCCTCGGTGGTTGATTTTCCATTTATGACTGTGAATGGTTGTGAGGGTTGCTCTGAGAGATGGAGATAGACAGATTTCGCTGAAGATGGAGACGAATTTCGTCAGAGACGGAGACAGATGTCGCCGTAGAGAGTGAGAGATGGAGATGAGACTGAGTTGTGATTTAGGGTTTTAGGTTATGATTTGCGATAATATTGTTTACATTTGTGTTTCTCAATTAATATTGTGTTTCGAATTCGAAAATAAAATTCGCGTTGCGAAAATAAATGCGCTTTGCGAATTTGACTTTTGTGTTGCAATTTGACTTTTGTGTTGCGAATTTAACTTCTGTGTTGCGAATTTGACTTTTGTATTGCGAATTTGACTTATGTGTTGCGAATTTGACTTATGTGTTGCGATTTCCAAATTCGCGTTGCGAATTTGGAAACTGAGTTGCGAATTTGGAAACTGGGTTGCGAAATAGGAGTTCGCGTTGCGAATTTATTGGTCATTTTCGCAAATCCAAAAAAAATTTGTTAAAATCGTATATTATAAGGTATTTTCGGTCACCGAGGTTATTTTCTCTTTAATTATTGACGTTTTACCTTTATCAAATCACGTTAAGATGAATTTTTATTAAGATGATTGAACTCTTAATATTTAGTCGTTTTAGATATTAACTTAAATTTTAATTATTTTAAGTTTAATTTTATTATAATTTTAATATTTTAATATTTATAATAGATTATTTTTTTCTCATTTATAAAGACAAATACAAATAAATCATATTAGATTTTTTTACGTATGCCTTATTTTATATTAATTTTGTTTTATTATATTTTCGCTGTCAAATTTCTAACCGATCAAATGACTAAAAGACTTTCACTTGGTGACTTCGAATCACAGAATTTATTTACTTGCAGTGTATATGACAGTAATTTACATTTATTAGTGTGAACTGTAAATAATAATTAAAAAAAGAAACAAATTAATATGAGCTTTGCCTGCCCTAACGAAGACCACCTAATCAAGTTGAATATTCTTCCTGAAACTGAAACATTGAAGATGTGTTTTAATTGACTTAAGCTTAATGAATTTAACACGTTTAATGACCAAAGATTCATTGAAGAAGATTCAAACAGAGGCAACTGTCCAGTTGGTTTACCAATATGGAAAAAAATCCAAACACAAATGAACCCCTACCTTTGGTTTCGTGTCCTAAACAGTTGAACCAAATTCAGACAATTTTGGACCTCAAAAACCGTCTGGTTAACCTTCGTCTTCACCTTTGCACAAACAACACTTTCCATTTTCTCCAATTGTATATCTTCTTTGCTCCTCAATCTTGAGTTACACTGACCAGCTATCCTGAGTTCACCAACAAAGATGGTGGGGGCTTTATCTGTGGTGAGTTCATCAGTTATGGAGTCTCAGACTGGTCCATGCTTGTGCTTGTCGGAAGCATTGCCATCCGACAACATCAACCTGAGAAGAAAGCATGCGGCGGCAAGGGCCGGTTCGATTAAATTAGTCAGCTCCTTCGTCGATTCATGGCCTGATTGGAGGCTGTCTTCCAAGATGATTGTGACCAAGGGTTGGAGGAAGCAGCGCAAGGACCGTGGACTTGTGGTTGTTGATAATTTGGGAGGGCAGTATGAAGAAACTTTTGGTGATGTTAAAAAGGTGAGATTGCTTTAGTTTCAGCCTCTTCAAAGTTGTACTTTTGCATGCTTCTCTGCAGTATAATTCATTCTGAAAGATACACTAATGGATGTTAAAACTGAGCATTCAAAGAAACATGTGCATACAGGGACGTACATACGATTTTATGCTAGAATAGACAAACTTATAAAAATTTATGAGACAGACAGATTATCTCGGTCAGCCCCCTCAGCCCATCACTGGATGCAAATGTTTTCTTTCCAATGCTTTTGTAGGTGAAAATGTTGTTAAAAAGCCAATGCTTTATTTTATATGACAATGATTTTTTTTCCCTGCATGCAGCAATTACTCAATTACTTCACATACAAAGCAGTGAGGACTGTTCTTACTCAGCTTTATGAAATGAATCCTCCAAAATATACATGGTTTTATCAGTAAGTTGCATACCTGGTTTCCCCCCACTCTGTATATGCTTCTGATTGCATTGTTGCCTGCTATGGTTGTGGCAAATTGGGCTATAGTTTAGAGGTGGCAAAATGAATCTGACCCTGAAAATTTGACTTAATGAAATTCGAATATGTATATGTTTAGATTCGATTCGATTCTATCAAAATTTTAAATTTAAAAACGACCAAACTTAGAAAGGATTAAGTTGTGCTGCAATCTTGATTATGGCAGGTACGTTGCATCAAATAAGCCCAGCGATGGCAAACTTTTCTTGCGCATGCTCGGGAAGGTACCGCAATAGTTTCTTCTTTAAGTAAACTTAAGTAGCTAGTAATCTAATATCAAACCAGCAAACCTCGTATAGAACCGTGTGTATTTGGCATTGACAGGAGAATCAAGAGCTTGCTGAAAGAGTGATGATAACACGGCTTCATTTGTATGGAAAATGGATTAAGGTAAAGGAAAGAAAAAAAAAACTCTTACTAGCTTTTACATTTGATGCTGAACAACAATCGAAGTTAAAGATGGATCGAGGGAGACCGACAGGACGATCGTCCCTTGTAAAATTTTATTATGTGTCTGTCTCTGATTAAAGTATTTTCTGACGTTGTATATTTATATATTGTTATAGAAATGTGATCATGGTCAGATATACAACGAGATATCGGAAGAGAACTTGGAACTGATGCGCGAGCGGCTTATGGACACTGTGGTTTGGCCCTCCGATGACACAAACCTGACAACATTGGCTGAAGCCATTTACATTTCTTCTCTTTTGAGTTAGCCTTAGCTAACCTTTCTGTGCAATCACTGTGTTTGGTCCCAAACAATCACTCTTTAGTTTTACACATATTTAAAACAATTAGATGAATTAAAATAAATGACTGACTCATTATTTTTTCCAGTGAATATCTTCTCATTTCATACTGTTAATCTTAATCATCTATTTTCATTCATCTAATGATTTTAAATCTATATAAATTTAAAAGAGTTTTATTATTTAAGATGATGTTATCCATGTATACATTATATTTAAAAGTCTGAGTTTGAACTCCATATTAACACGTAGATTAACCCAATTAATTCAATTTTAACACAGCTTTGATAAGTCATAACTCATAAGCCTCTGGCTTGGGTTGCGGATTCAACTACAAAGTCAAAAGGCGGCAACTAAGTAAACCCCAAGTTTTGATACACATTGATTAGTGTTTTAAATTGATAATATTTATTTGTTAAATATTTGATCTCGTAGATTTATTATTGTTAATTTAGTAGTCCTACTGAGGGCAATTCACCACGAAAACTGCTCTCAACCTGGCGTTGGGACAGCCTACTACCCTATTTCCCCTTTACCCCATTACGTATGGAAATAGGGTCAGCTAATAATTAGTAGTCGTGTAAAATCTAATTTTTCAGCATTAGCAGTAAAAATGATATATTTTATTTTTTTTATTATTTGGTCACGGTTGAGACATGGGCACGATATTAGATATGACACAGTGTGACATGACAGTTTTTAAGAGGTACAGTCAACAGTAGTTTTTAGAATATCTCGTCAGCACCTTCTCGAAGGTAGGCAGACAGAGATATCTTAGGAGGATTTGTTTTTGAAATTTAAAGTTTGAATTTGAAAACATTTGGAATTATCTTTAAGATTATTTTTATTTTAATTTCATATTTATCTCTAGTATTTTAAAAACTATAAATGCCTATTGGGATAAGGCTAAGAACACACTTGTTTTTACATTTGATTCATGAGCTTTCAGTTAGTTTCATAAAAGTTTTTCTTTCGTTTTCATTTTTATTTTATTTCAAGTTTTAAAATAAAACATGTTAAGTATAACTTTTGTTATGTTTAACTAAATTTTTTATAAACCGAAAGGCTAAGCGATGACTTAATTCAATATGTGAGAATTGAAAAACATTTAACATCTTCAGGATGTTACTCTCAGTTTTATTGAAACTTGGATAGGTAATCGACATATCTTTAAAATCAAAACACTTTCATATCAAAAAGAGCTCGTTGGTCTGGATGTTGTTCTGATTTAAAGATGGGAGGAAAGATCGGTTTGTAGCATATCGACTTACCGTGAACACACTTAGCGGAGATCGCTAAGGTAAACTGAGATTGAGTTCGATTCTCAGCGAGACAACATAATCGAGTCTAACTTTTCCTAAATTAAAATTATTTTGTGCTAACGACGATTATCGTAGTTGATTCAATTAAAAGCTAGATTTCCAAAAATTGACATTGGAAAAATCAGTTACCAAAGTAAAAAACAAGTTACAAAGGTTGAATCTTGTAGACTATAACTGGCGTGAATCCCAAAGTGAAAATTTATTTCAATGATTAGAAACGAATTGAGTCAAAGCGAGACAACATAATTCGAACCGAGCTTTTCCTAAATTAAAATTGTTTTGTGCTAACGACGATTGTCGTAGTTAGTTATATTAAAAGTTGGATTTTCAAATATTGAATTGGGAAAATCGGTTTTAATTTTACATTTTACATTTTCTTTATTTTTTCTTATTTAATCTTTTTGTTTCCATCAAAATCCCTCTTTTTATTTTATTTGACTGCAAATTTACTGAATCATAGTTAACTCCAACTTAAATTTGGATTTTCTAAGTTCTCGTAGATCTACGTATGTTTCCTAAATTCAACTGTCGGTTATATATATTTAATGCCATAGTCATTGCTGCCATTGTTGACTTGGCAAGCATTGACCTGCTTAAAAGCCTTGTTTTATTTGGTGAGCAAGTTTCCAGATTTCCTCCCTGCAACGCTAATCGCTTGTTTTCTCATTCATTTCTTCAATAGAATGGCCGCTGAATTGGTGGGTGGATCTTTCCTTTCTGCTTTTCTTCAAGTCCTGTTCGATAGGATGGCTTCTCCTGAAGTCGTAGACTTCATCAGGGGAGAAAAACTGAACCGCCCGTTATTCCAAAAGTTGGAAGCTACATTGCTGTCCATAAATGCCGTTCTGGACGATGCAGAAAGCAAACAAATCGTGAACCACAATGTAAAGAAGTGGCTTAACGAGCTTAAAGACGCTGTTTATGATGCAGAGGATCTCCTTGATGAAGTTTCGACTGAAGCTTTGCGATGCAAGCTCGAAGCTGAATACCAAACCAGCACGACCAAGGTACGCAGGTTTTTCACTTCACTAAACCCATTTCATAATAGAACTGAATCTAAGCTGGTAGGGATACTGGAGAGAGTTGAGTATCTTGAAAGACAGAAATATGTTCTTTCTTTGAGAGAAGGGTTTGGTGAAAAGTATTTGAGAAAATACCAGCCACTTCCTTGGTGGATGACTCCAGCGTGTATGGGAGAGATGGTGATAAAGAAGCTATAATGAAGTTGTTGCAGGCCGAAGATTTGAGTAGCGATGGGATTGGTGTTGTTTCTGTAGTTGGCATGGGTGGGATTGGGAAGACAACTCTTGCTCAGATTGTTTACAACGACAACAAAATGGAGGATTTGTTCAAGTTTGATCTCAAAATCTGGGTTTGCGTTTCAGACAACTTTGATGTTTTTCGAGTGACAAAAGCAATTCTCGAGGGAATCACTTGTTTGAGTTGTGCGGTTGGGGAACTCAATTTGCTCCAACTTAAGCTGGCTGAATGTTTAATGGATAAGAAATTTTTACTAGTCTTAGACGACGTGTGGAATGAGAATTATGTCCATTGGGAGGCCTTGAAGAGACCTTTAACTCATGGAGCTCGAGGAAGTAAGATCATTGTCACCACACGGAACGAAAGCGTTGCCTCGATTATGCGCACAGTTCCTTCCTATCATCTGCAGCAATTGGCAGATGAACAATGCTGGTTGTTATTTGCAAAACATGCATTTGGCAGCACGAATTCCAGTGGGGAAGTACAGAACCTAGAAGCCATTGGTAAAGAAATTGTGAAAAAGTGTCATGGCCTACCTTTAGCAGCCAAAACAGTCGGAGGTCTCCTTCGATCCAAAAGGGATGTCGGTGAATGGCGTAATGTGTTGGAGAGCAATCTGTGGGATTTATCGAATGGCGATGACAACATCGTTCCTGCTTTACTCTTAAGCTACCATTATCTGCCTTCACATCTGAAGAGATGCTTTGCATATTGCGCAATATTCCCCAAGGATTATGATTTCGAGATCGAGAACCTGGTCCTATTGTGGATGGCTGAAGGATTACTGTCACAAACAATACGAAACAAGAGGCTGGAAGATGTAGGGATCGAGTACTTCAACAATCTACGGTCGAGATCTTTCTTCCAACAATCAAGTGGCAACAGAAAGCTCTTTGTCATGCATGACCTCATTCATGATTTAGCCAAATTTGTCTCCCAAGGGTTTTGTTTGTTAGGGGTTTATGATTCTAACAACGTCCAAAAGACGGTTCGTCATTTTTCATATACGAGAACTAGTTACGATGATTTTCAAATGTTCGACGCCTTTCACGAAACCAAGTGTCTGCGTACCTTCCTACCTCTAAAACCCTTTCATTGGTTTGAAATACTACCTTACCAAGTCTATCATGATCTATTGCCAACCTTAAAATGCTTGAGGGTTTTAACTTTATCCAGGTATGATAATATAAAAGAGTTGCCTGCTTCAATAGGAGACTTGCAACTTCTCCGCTATTTGGATATGTCATACACTGCAATTAAGAGGCTACCGGAATCCGTTTGTGCTTTGTATAATCTGCTGACATTGTTATTAGCAGATTGTGGCTCGCTCCTCGAGTTGCCAAACCAAATAGCAAGGCTCGTCAACTTGCGTCACCTTGATATTAGCGGGACACTAGGACTCAAAGAGATGCCACTACAGATGAGCAAATTGGCTAGTCTACAAACACTATCTGCATTTATTGTGGGGAACCATAGTGGATCTAGCATTTCGGAATTGGGGGAGCTTCAGCAACTTAGAGGCAGTCTAGCTATTTTCAATCTTCAAAATGTTTTCAATCCAAGAGATGCTCTGGAGGCGAAAATTAAAGACAAAGAGTACCTTACCGAGTTGCTATTGAAATGGAGTGGCCATACTCTTGATACATCGACCGAAAGAGATGTACTGAGCATGCTTCAACCTCATACAAACTTGGAAAAGTTGTCCATCGAATCCTACGGGGGCACGAAGTTTCCTGATTGGTTAGGGGATTGTTCGTTCTCAAATATGGTGTCTTTGCGGCTTAGCCATTGTAAATACTGCTTCTTCTTACCAGCAGTTGGGCAACTACCATTACTCAAAGAGCTCTATATCATTGGATTTGATGCAGTTGAGACGGTCGGAGTTGAGTTCTACGGAAACGGATTATCTACGGTCAAGCCCTTTAGGTGTCTTGAAATTTTATGGTTTGAGAGGATGTTGGAGTGGAAGGAATGGACTTTCTTTGAAAAAGATGCTGAAGAAGGACATTTTCCTTGTCTTCGAGAGCTTCACATACGGAAATGTCCCCGGCTGAGCGGGACACTGCCGGACTACCTTCCTTCATTGAGAAAGTTAATGATCATTGATTGTCAGCAACTCATGGTTTCACTTCCACAGGCTCCAACCATCTATGAGTTGCATTTGGGATATTCAGATAAGGTGTCTGTGAAGCATATTGTGCCTCGACTGCACAAGTTTACAATCAGAGGATTCTCCGCACTCGAATCTCTACCTGCAGGGATAATGCATTGCCTTCGTTTACAAGAACTGAAAATCTGCGATTGCCCGTTTCTGTCGACACTTCAAGATCCTACGTTGTCGACTTTGAAAAGACTTGATATCATGAGGTGCAAGAGACTTGAATTGCCTATGTGCTCAAGTTATGGCTCCTTGCAAACATTGCAGATATCATTTAGCTGCTATTCTCTAACGTACTTTCAGCTACAATCATTCCCCAAACTTAATCATCTTCAAATAAGAGGATGTAATCTAAATTCTCTTTCAATTGCAGAGGGGCCTAATCAGGTTCTTCCAGCTCTCAGCTCCCTCAGAATCAGTTTATGCCCAAAGTTCGGGTCGTTTCCTGCAGGCGGACTACACGCTCCTAATCTCACGGTACTTGAAGTTTCCGACAGTATGGAGCTAAAATCACTGCCCGAAAACATGCACTCCCTTCTTCCATCACTCAACTCATTGAAGATATGCAACTGTCCAGAACTCGAGTCCTTTCCTGCAGGTGGTTTGCCTTCGAAGCTGAACTCGTTCTCGGTCTCCTTCTGTGAAAAGTTAACAGCAAACCTCATGGACTGGGATTTGCAGCAGGTCAGCTCCCTCGAACACTTTAGTATCCGGGGACAATGTGAACGCATTGATTCTTTTCCAGAGGAAGGTTTCCTGCCTTCAACACTTGCATTTCTTTACATTGATGAAGTTCCCAACTTGACATCACTCAACACCAAAACACTCCAATGTCTCACCTTTCTTAAAAAGCTTGAAATCCGAAGATGCCCTCGCCTTCAGTCGATGTCCGGTCCGGAGCTGCCTGAATCCCTGTCTGTTTTAAGAATTGAGGACTGTCCTTTGTTGAAGCAAGGGTTGCAGGAAAAGAAAGGAGAAGAATGGACCAAGGTTGCTTCTGTCCCCATAGTTGAAATTGATGATGATATGGTCATAGCAGACCAGCTGTTTTATGCAGAAAAGATCCATCATGGTTGTATCTTATAGTTGTAATACCCTGAAACATGGTTAAGGTTGTCTGTATCCTTCAAATTTGATGTTACTTTCAGGAACACAACAAAGCTTTTCAGTTTTTTATGTAATGGAGAAAAGGACAATACATATATGAATGATTGATGTGAAGATGGAAAACAACAAAGTGAACTCTTACAAATTGCAACGCTAAAACTACATTGTGTTGTTGTTCCTATTAGTTGCAGTTCATTGTATTTGCTTTTTCTTACTATTTTTTAGAAAATAGAAGACAACGTCAAAAGGTAACACTGGTAGTCTCTGAATTTTTTTTTTGAGGAACTTGCATTTTGGTAATCGGGATTTTAAAACTTACACTATAATTATTGAAATTTTAATTTGTTTTTAGATCACTTTCTTAAGCTATCATTAAAAAATAAACTGATATGATACATTAAAATATTATTCTCAAAAGAAACTTATGAATTTTCTTTTTCTTTTTATTGTCATCTTTTTCATTGTCGTTTCTATTAGTAGTAAATGATTTATGCGATAAAAAATATCACTCAACTACTCTTTTTTTTTCTTCAACTCAACCTCGTCAAAAAACCTTTCAATTTCCTAAAATCTCAATTGAAACTAAAACGTACAACTTTTCAATATACCACTATCAACCAGCATATTAACTTGAGATCAAATTATGTTAATTTTTAACTAAACAAAACATTCGCATTATTGTAATTAATCGACGATCGCTCCATTCACCAGAAACCCCCAAAGATCTAGATGAGTGGTTTTCTTTGTCACTTTTTTTTTCTTTACTTCTTTGCTTATTTTTGTTATTGTTTATTATCTACTGTTATCGATGGTTGTGGACCAAACTGGAACAGTGATAGTTGTTGGAATTTTGATTGGACTAATCATGAATGATGATTGTGGTGTTTGAAACTTGAATGAGATAATGGTGATGAATAGTTCGACGGTCGTGAGAAGATGATAAAACTCAGATATGATGTTAAAAAGACAATCAAAAGAATGTAAGATGATAATTATGCAAATGATCCAAGTGACACTCACTAATTTGGAAGAAATTTAAAAATTATTTTAGAAAAAAAATTAACATGCCATGTTAACTTAACTACCGACAGTAACCATAATAAAAAAATTAAAAATTTAATGATTATAATACAAGTTTTAAAAGTTAAATGATCAAAATGCAAACATCACAAAAGTTCAAGGACTACCAGTTTAGTTTACCCTGAAATAATCCATTAATTTTACAATATTTATTAATTATTAAAAATACAAATTCGATCTTATTGATCCATTAATCTAAATTGAATATTATATGCCTATATTTTTAACAACAAAGATGCATAAAAAAGATAACAAAATACTTCGAGAGAGTGAATTATCCCCCAAAATCAGAAAAGAGACTTAAAAATTTCAAAAGTGTGTTTCAGTTTAGCCACAAATGGCAGAGCATTCATAACTAAGCTGCATATACTTTTGCGGTAGAAAAGAGAACAACAAAGCTTTCTTCATGAAAGTGATACAGTAATTTGAAATGAAATATATCTACTTCTCATGGTACACTATTACATGTACAACGCTCAATTGATACATACAGAAATTATCAAACCCAAAATGTATGTATCCCTAAAATGCCTATGTAATGTAAAACTGACCGGTAACAGCTTTCAACTGAGAAACAAGCAATAACCGAAAGCAATCAGTCGTGCCTGCAAAAGAAAAGCATTGCAAACAGAGAGCGTTTAGCCATAAATAATCAAATTATGATGAAGTAATCAGAGATATATTTGATTTCAAAACAATATGAATTTTTTTTCTAAGTTCGTTCCATTGTTACTCTAAATGGGAACTTTGCCGATCTGTAAATCCAGTTCAATGACTACTTTCAATCAAGCCAAGGACTCACCATTTTCTTACAATCCACAGGAGAAAGCCTTGACAGTATCTTACAGAAAAAAACAAAACTAACTGCTTCAAAATCTCTTTGCTTTTTTTTGTATTCTGAGTAATGAATCAACATGGGCATGCTTAATTGTCCCCAAAAGCCATAGATTGCCCTAGCGCTGTTCTCACGCGGAGCTGTACCACGAATATTTCTATTAGGTCAACCAGAAAAGTGAAGCGAACAAAAAACGTATTCAAAAGATAAAATGTAAATAACCTTAACGTCAACACATGGATCGTTAACCATATTCTTTATCTGAGAAATTATCCCAGCAGTGCGCAGTTTTTCAAGCCGGCCAGGTGCACCAGGACTCGATGGACAAGTAAGATTCACTATTGTCCAGACAGTTGCTGTGCGTAGCTGGCTATCATTGCTCTGCAAAAACTTCATCACAAAATATTGATTCTTGTCACCCGTTTGTGTAAAGAGTTGCTGGATTACTGCTTCCTTGTGGAACTCATTCCCACTCGCCACATTGCACAGTGCATACATTCCCTACAGGGCATAGAATTCATAATAAGCTAAAAAGAGAAAATTACAATTAACACAAAATCAAATCATGGCGTTATCATATATTATTCTTGTTATTTTCCTAGAAAGATACTAGCAAAGAAATTTTAATGGCAGCCGCATTGACTATATACACAAATAATCGCTGTTGTAATTAACTTATTTACATGCGCATGCATCAAACTTCCATAGACAAAAACAAGTCGTGAAAACTAACATATATAGTGAATTCCTATATGATATTTATCTCATCGAACTCAAAAAAATAATAATATCATAAATAATTTGATGAAAAGGGAAAAATTAAATATGACATCTTCATCCTAGACATGGGTGAAAATTTGTTAAATTTTTGTACAAAAAGCAGTCATAATTATATTTTCAAAACAAAATGTTTGCATAAATACATTGAAGTATAATATAAGTGGACTTATCAAGCAAAAAGGGCATAATCAGATTGTACTAATATTTTAGGTTCCACATAGAGAAATCTCTCTTGGCTACAAAGACGAATGAATAAAAACATGTGATTTTTTGTTCTTTTGGGAGATAAGTAAAGATGTGAGACCTTCAATCCAAATTCAAAGAAATTTCAAATCTTAAACAATTAAAATATAGAATGCTAAATAGTAACTGGCATTCTAACTCATTATTTTCCTTGAATCCAAACCTGTATCCCTATCTCAGATTTTGAAGAACATTGTAACTGTCTAACAATTGCCCCTAATATAATGCCATCTTCAGCAAACACGAACTCAATTAAGCTTATACATCCATCAACTAGATTACGAATAAGGCCCAAAGCTTGCTCTTGTACAGAAGGCTCTGGATCTGAAATGTAAATGTATATTAAACAGCAACTTGATTTGAACTTATGTCGAACACATAAGAATGAAAGCAAATAAAGAATTGTATATCTTATTACCACAGATGAGGCTTGATAACAATGATGCAGTGAGCTCTGAGAAAACACCTTCTTTCAACCTCTTGTTTGCTTGGAATACAAAATTCTTCAAAGCCCACAAAGCATTTGACCTGACAGCTGATTCCATAGACTTTGCTAACTGAACCAGCTGTTTCATCCCTCCACATTGTACAAAAATAGACTTACGTGTTGTAAAATCAACCACTATGTTGCTAACGGCGCCAAGTGCAGCTACCTGGAAACAAAAAGATTAATGGTCATTAGCGTCCACATTCATAAGCTTTGAGATCTGGTGGAACAAAGTGGATTAGCTTGTAATATTAGACAACAATTGTTGTACAATTAATATAAAAATTAAACTCCACAACGTGGTTCTTAATGATTAATCTTAAGTTGATATACAAACTGAATACATGCATATAGCAGAGGTTTAAAGTCTTTCAGGTCAAAAGATTGCAGCACCCAAACTTATAACACCACAGTAATATTAAGTTGTGGTGATACTAAATTGCATCTCAATAATTTTGTATTGAAAAGAGGTGAAACAGAGAGCACCACCCATACAGAATCTAGCAAGGGAAAAGTATCGGATCTTTCTGATTTCTCCTGCCACCTAAAGCCCTTGCTCATTAATATGAAAACTGGTCACTGAACCAGATAAAACCAAACTTAAAAAAAGAAAAAAGAAACGAAATAAATGCTATCAAATGCCAATATAATTCTATGAAATTATATTAAAACCAAAATATGTTTTATATTTAACAATAATCAACTCGGAGTATCAGAGCCATAGTTATTAAGAAAGAAATTATGAAAGCAAAATTTGTTTGAAATCTGATAACTGAAATGTTGACATGTGTAATTTCTGCAGCTTTTTCCCTTTTGGTTTTTAGACCATACAATACAGATATTATCTACCAATTATAGTGCCACTTTAACAGCTTATTACCTGGACAGAAGTCGAAGGGTCAAGAAAAAGCTGAACCAATGGAATCACAATCATTTCATTCATAAAATAACCTGCACTCAAATTCTGTATTGGCATTGCATAAGCTATATTAGCATATAAGAGTTAAACAGAATATTGCACAATTGTTATTGCATCACAAACCTTGATTGATCGAGTGACACTTTTCAAACATACACAAGCTGCAGTGCGAACACCAGCATTATGATCAGTTAGCACATCTGCTACCAAATTCAACACCTATATTATGAGAAAATATCAGAAACTTCAATGTAGTTGAAGATTCACACAAATAAGAGTCTTCAATAAGATTTGATTAGTAGTTAAAAGTTTTGAAATCTAATTTATAACTTTGCACTGACCAGTATAGAATAACCATAAAATAGACAAAGAAATCATAAAATTTGTCTGATTGTGAGATGAGATCTATTTATGGGCCACCATAGACACCTCAGATAGAAATCCAAGATTTCTTGGGACACTATTTTATCAAATAGTAGTAACTATTGTTTTGGAACTCGGATAGAAATCCAACTTTGCTGGAGCTTACTCCTAGGTCTTGTAATTTGGCGGCAGTCAAGTTACTTTAGAAGGGGTTTGGTTCATTGTTTCAGGCATTTTGTTGTACTGTTTTGTGTTGTATTCCAGGAATTGTTTAGGCGTTAAGTCTTCTTTTCTGTTGCTAGATTGGTTTACAGCTCAGCCAAAATTAAGACTGTGTTAGTGCCTTTGATGGTTTAGGCTGAGCTTTTTCTGTTGTTTAGCGGTGTCTTCGGGTGTTTTTTGGTTTTTTGGTTATATTGGGGGTGTTTATCTGGTTGTATCTTATGTAATTTCTTTTGGTTAATGAAATCTTAAGGCACTCTTTTCCTCCTTCCGCTGATTAAGGAGCTTCTCTACAAGCTCCTTTAAAAGAAGGGGGGTTTTTAACGAGGCCTTCAATTCCTATCAAAAAAAAAAGTGATCCACTCACCAAGATTAGAAAGTTCACTCAAGCAACATAAGACTACAGAACCATTAGTTTTTTCAAGAAGCAAGAGAAGACATCTGTAACAAATTTTTGGTTGAGTTTAGGCATGATGCAAGTGGAGAAAATCTATTTCAATACTAAGAGCAGGTTACCACCAGCTCCATTACCTACCGGTGATAAAGAACCAATGGCAGAAAAAATAGCCAAGGTATGATCTTTTATGCATGAAACTTTCCACTGAACAATATTTTAGCAATGATGCTAGCGACTTTGTTGTGTTGAGTATTCCCTAGAGCCAATTGGATTGAAAAGGATATACTAGCTATAATGCATCTGAATCTCTAGAAAATATGTTATTAAAGAGTCTCCTTCATCATAATAAACAAAAATAAAGAGTTGTTAAGTACTAATGAAACTCTTGGAGCAAAAATAAAGAGTTATACATAAAAATTATGTTCCAAAGTTATCCCTGATCATTACATTGTCAGAAGAAAGCATTGACAATGCTCAAAGACCAGTACATGTTAAGCCCCCATATATGTAAAATAAGCTATCAATCTCATAAATTGAAATATAGAGATACTTGGGAATAGCAAGAGGTAATTGTGATGAGAACAAGTCCATAAAAGTTGTCCCAGAATATGTTTTAAAATTGATTTAGTCATAATTGCACAATAAAAAGAATAGTCAAAACATGTGCAGAATTTTCAGAATGCTTAGTATCAACTTCGATTTGAACATGTTTCTCCTTGTTGAAAAATTCATAAAACCAAGTTTTTAGCATCTAAACATGTCTTTAAGGTCGCTATAATTTGGTTGATTTGGCTTCGTTTAAGTGCCAAAAACAGATTTCAAGGAAATGCAAAACAGTTTGAATGCCAAAGTGATTTTGAGAGAATCTTAGCTTTTGTTTGTAAAACAAAACTTGCTAGCAGTTGTTCTTGATCCCTCTTTGAAGAAGGCCTGGGCTTCTGTCACTGTGTGGATACCATTGGAGGCCAAAAACTTGGGTGGCCACAAGTCTTGACTAGATTTGGTCTATCACAAGATTAAGAAATTTCAATTATGCATGATTTTTTATTACATGGTATTATCAATTGTTTTAATCATGCCAAATATTGTAAGTACGACCATTGGAGGATTTGGTTTATCTTCTGTTTATGTTCCACTGTGCAATATCATGTCTAAGGTTTTGTTTGTCTAAGCTTACTAGTTATTTGAGCATTTAATGGAATCCATCATCTATCCCATTTCTATAAGCATCTCCTATGTTGTAGATTCTACTGTTTTGAAGCCAAACAAAACAGGTTCAATGTGTATAGTTATATTCCAGACATGTTACAATCAAAAGGTAAACATTAAACAAACAGCAATTAATGGCACCAAGTTAATATATTCCAGAGGGGAAAAAACAAACCTGCAATGAGAGGAGCTTAGACCTGCAACTCTCCAACTTTGAGCACATATCAGCTAGTGCAAGTAAAATTCCCTCATAACGTCTGGCATGCAATGAGTCTTTTTGTAAGTGGTGATGTAGTTTATCAATAGCATTAGCCTCAAGAGCCAATTTTTGAAGATCCTCCTTTTGTGCAATTAAACTGGAGAAAGCAAAAGGAGCCTCATCTCCAACTTGACCAGGGTCGTCAAGAAGCTCAAGTAAAATATGTATTATTTTAGTTTTGATCTCTATATCTTGCAAGAAGTGGGGAGAGGCATTCCTTATAACAATCAAGCACAGGCAAGCTAGCAACCTAGTTCGGGGGTACCTATCCTTTGCTAAATCAATTATAGAACTAAAAGGTCTTCCGATTTCAGGTCCAGCAAATTTTGAAATAACTTCAGGATTGTTCCTAAATATTGTGGCTAAAGACTCTAAACTAGCATCTCTCTGACTTAAAGAACCACCTTCAAGAAGACTATTCAACTTCCTTAGAATACCAGCATCAAACAATGCTTTCTGTTCTAAACTTGTCTCGCAAGAGTGAGTTATTATGCATGCACCAAGTCCACTAACATTTTCCTTCTCTCTATTTAGTAGTGAGATAAGAAACTCCATATTTTTCTGTTGAAGGAAATCATACTTTGGGGCCAATTTTGATTGATAGATCATTCTAAGGGCACGAGCACTAGCATCTACCACCTGAAGCAAGGAAAACGATATAAGTTACTATATAATAAGATATGAATAGAAAACTCAAGGTGAGCTTAAAACCGGAGTCCTAACTTTCTATGTTCATGCATAAGTATGTTATTGGAAATGGTCAAAAGTGGCAAAGAATCCTTTTGAAAGTCTCAAAACTGGCATATAAAAGAGAGAGAGAACTGATCACCCACCACCTTAAGAGCAGAGATGCTTTCAGAAATAAGTACTTTATGGGGAGCACCTTAGAGCGAGCGATGGTATATTTTCTGAATGAATCAAGAGTTGATCTTTTTGTTGAGATACAATAAACAAATAAACATAAAACAGACTAATGAGTACTCCAATGTGTGACCAAACAAAACCATGGTTAAGAAAACTAAACCTGTTTCCTATATGGTTTAAGATGGGTGAAACAAATGTAGACTGCACCAAATCACTAGACAGCAAAAATGTTTTTTATGGAGAAAATAACAACAGATTTAGTTCTATCTGAATTGGAACTGACAAAAAAAAAATTACAATATAAGACCTTTCTGACATTTATATAGTGATTTCTTTCCCTCCTTGATGCAATTTATCTTAATTCTGTCCTTCAAAACAAACTACCCCTGAATTCTTTTTAACCAAATTGACAAGGAATGCTACGAACTTATTTCCAAAACAAATATAAGCTCTAATATCTCCAAATATATGGTTATTGTACGTCATACTTTAACATACAATCTTTTTCCCGCCTAAAAAAATAGAGTCGATCCGCATTGCAGAATTACTATTTCCCATCCTTTCAGATATCTTCAAAGAAACTGCATACTGAAATAGCATAAAGATAATTTGGCAGAGACATTAACATCTTAACTGGATTAACTGAATAATCACCTCATTTAGGAATATCATAGTACTAAATTGCGGCCGCAACGCAATGTAACAGCCACATAGTAACGTTTTGAAATTCACCGCGGCACAGCAACCGCATTCGTAAATTAGAAATATAGTTATTTTTAGGGGGGGAGAAATCCCGCCGTAACGTCCACAGCATCCGCAACACCAACACCACAATTTAGTACTATGAGGAATATAGTCCAAATATGCATATCTCGTTTAAAACAAAGACATCAATATAAATTCCAATTTCTTCTCCCTCTTTTTGTTGTCTTCAAAATTTCTCAACATGGAATAGATGCAAGTTTCACAAGCAGCAAATCTTCTTTTCTATTGACTAAAAATAAGTTTAAACGAACTAATATATATGGGGAGATCAATTAAAGATAAAAAAATAAAAATAGTTATAATTTCTAATTTTTGAAATCCCGAATTCTCCTTTTTGTATCAATTTCCATGCAATACTACTATTTAAAATTAAAAAGATAGAAAAACAACAACCTTCTCATTAGGACTTGCGAGAAGCCGCAACAGATTAGGGAAGGCGCCGGCGTCAAGCACTGCTTGAACTCCGGCGTCGAAGCCACAAGCAAAGCTACCGAGAGCCGCGGCTGACTGGACCAGAATGTTATTACTATTGCTGTCGCAGTTGTTATAATCGGTGACTTCGTCGATTGAATCAGCTAGAATGCCGGCGACGGCGGGGACGGCACCGAGCTTGAGGAAGGAAAGCTTCTTTGTAGGATTCCCGATTATTTGGTTTTTAACCTCGCGAAGGGCCCCGACCTTGACCTCAGGCTCAGCGGAGGCCAACCGCGAGAGGAGCTCGCTCGGCCGGTGCTTGTTAATGGTGGCGCTTGGCATGACGCTGGCGATGGCGAGCCCCGCGGATTTGTTTAATCTTTATTGAAGGAGAAACGAAAAGATTGGAGGATTTTGAGTGGTGTTTTTTTTTTTTTGGGTTAAGGTTTTAACTTAGACACGATTTCAACCGAGATTTCCATTCTCCTTTTATTTTTAGCAACAATTTGAGCTTCCTTTTTCCCCCGCGAATAGTAAGACAATTTTCGCACTCTCTTTAAATTCCACCGTTAATTTTTTTTACATTAAAATGTGTACGTTTGTGAACACCAAAACTATATTTAAAATTTTATATATTTAATAATATGTTTAGAAAATGAATTTTAAAGCTCATTTTTTACTTCTACATATTTCAAAAATCATTGAATTTTTACAAAATTGTTGTTAAAAAGTCATATTCATGAGTATTATTATTAAATTTAAATTGACTTTGAATTTTAATTTTTTATTTAGATAATTTAATCTTTTGAATTTGCTTTTATAAGGGATAACATTGGTAAAATTATAGAAATACTAAAAAAAAGGGAAAATGTAGTGGCTTATCTCAAATTAAAAATATTTAATTAATTGTATCAATTTCTTTCATGTCTAATAGAATTATTTAAAATCGGTGATGATTTTATATAGATTTAAATGTAATTTTTATTTTAAAAAAGTATCATTGTTTATTATATTTGACTAAATTATAAAAAAATATTTAAATTTAAATATAATTAAAGAGACTTAATTGAAAAAAAATACATTTGGTTAAATTTTATGATTGGAGACTCAATTGATTAAAAAGTTTGAAAATGGCTTGATTAAAAATTTCAAAATACTCTCTGCAAGATTCCTTGAACCAAAAGATGGAAGGTTAAAGGTAAAAAGAAGGATAATGTTGGTTCATCAAGCAAATTGGACACTCTTGCTGGAGGTGGTGTTCTTGATGGGCCAAGGAAGACTAGGACAACAACCTTGGGAGTTGCTATGCTCCTTAATGAAATCAAGACAAAAAAGAAAGAGCATATGGATAAGGCTAAGGGTATAGAGGTAAGTTGTGGTGTTGGTAGTGGAGACCCTCTTATACCTAACAAATGATCATTAGTTTTTGGAATGTTAGGGGATCAATAATAGCCTTGAACTAAGAAGAGTTATTAGGAGATTGGAGGCTTTGTGTATTGATGTAATATGTTTTATGGAAACCTGATGAGTGTTCAGAATCGTTAATCTTTGCTCGTTATTTCTTCGGTTTTGAGGATTTATTACTGCTAAATTGGTTGTGTTATGTTTGTTTTCGTGCAGGTCCTTACTTTCCAGAATTAGTGACAAAACGGGCGCATTCTGCATTTTTTTTATTATTTGGTCACGGCTGGAGACATGGGCACGACTCTGGGAATGACGCGGTCTGACGTGGCAGTTTCTAGAAGGTCCAGTCAGCGACAGTTTCTAGAAGACTTCCTCCGTACGCCTTCTGGAAGATTGACGAGCAGAGTTGCATTAGGAGACTAGTTTAAGTTTGAATTTAAATTAAAAAACAATTAGTTTTAGGATTATTTTATTTATTTTCTTTATTTATCCTTTAGGCTTTGAGAGGCTATAAATACTCACTTGGGGTAAGCCTAAACTCATCATTCAGATTACATTCTTCTTTTCTCTTTAGTTTTTATAAAAGTTTTCTCTTTTTACATTTCAAGTTCTTTTCATTTTTCTTTTATTTTTCAAGCTTTGTTTTCAAAATGCTAAGTATGACTTTTGTCATGCTTAGCTAAACTTTTCATAAGCCGAGAGCTGTCGCGATGACTCAATTCCATCAGGAGAATTGAAATAGGCCCTTAATATCTTCGGAATATCTCTCTCAATCTTTGCGCTTATTTTTCAAAATCAAAACAGTTTTCAAAATCAAAGATTGACTTTGGTCAAGAAGTTGTTGCGATTAAATGTGTGGGAGAAAGATTCGACTTATAGAAAGCAATTCAACTTCCTGTGAACACACTTGGCGAGATAGCTTCTCCAAGAGGGAATTGAGATCGAAATTGACGGTTATCGAAGCAACAATCCGAGTCGGACGCCATGAACTTAAATGGTAATTGATCTACGACAATTGATGTTGTTAGAATCAATTACCGAAGCCGGAATCAAAGATTGCCTTGGTATTCGGTATACAAGATAGAGTCACGGGGATAGCCCTTGTAGACAAAGTAACCGACGTGAACCCTGAATAAAAAACCTTATTCGATGATCATAAGGAAATTGAGTCAAAGCGAAGCTTGAGGCTACTTTTACCGTATTTATTCACAATCTTCATTTTCTTATTTTTACTTTAATTGTTTTTACTTATTTAATCGCTTTTATTATTTTAATATTTTATTACCAAAATTCCCTCCATTTTTACTGTTTCACGCCTGCATAAATAAATCAGACAGAAATTTATAATTTTCTAAGTCCCTGTGGAATCAACCCTTACTTCTCTTTACTAAGTATTTCCTTTATTTATTTATATATTGAGAATAAGGAATTCAATTTTGACATCCAAAACGATAGTTGTCAAAACCAGAGTTCGAAGTGCTACTTTCTCAAAGGTTTTTGAAGTTTTGAGTGTTGATTGGAATTTTGCTGCTAATTATGATTTCTCTGATGGAGGCAGACTTTGGGTGTTGTGGAGAAAAGGGCTGGCATATTCTTTCTTAAAAGGTTGTGATCAGGCCCTTACTATTGTTGGAGATGTAGTTGGCCATTGCATGGTTATTACTGTTGTGTATGGCAGTAATAATGGGTTGGCTAGGAGGGGTCTTTGGGAGCATTTGAAGAATTTAAAGGTTGGTATTGGTTCTCTCCCATGGATTATTGGGGGTGATTTCAATGTTGTTGCCAATGCACAAGAAAGTTCAGATTTTGTTTTTTTGGGATTGCATAGCAGTTCTGACATGGAGGATTTTAAAAGATGCTTGGTGGATTTGGAGTTGCAGGATCACCCTTTCTCTGGCCCTCTGTTCACCTGGTCAAATAAGCAAGAAAACTCTTATTTGGCTCGAAAACTGGATAGAGTTCTTATAAATTCTCAGTGGTTGTTGGAGTTCCCTGAATCATTTGTGGAGTTTCAAGCTCAGGGAGTCTCTGATCACTGTCCTGGCATAGTTTGGTCTCAAAGAAGTGCTCAAGTCTATAGGACTAAGCCTTTTAAATTTTTTAATTGTTGGACTACAAATGATAATTTTTTAGGGTAGTTAGGGATTCTTGGCAGGAATAGTGTATTGGAAATGCTATGCAAATTCTGTTCTACAAGATGAAAAGGCTAAAACCTTTGTTAAGGGAGTTCAACAAGAACTATTTTTCAGACATCTCCGGTAGAGTGGCTGGTAAAAGAGCTGAACTGGAATCTATCCAGATTTTTAATCTTGGCTAAGTTAATCATAGAAGAGTGTCTGAAGACAGAAAATGATTAAGGCATAATTAATTGAATTGGAAGTTGCAGAATATGAGTTTTATAGACAAAAAGCTAAAACTCACTGGCTGCAAGAATGAGACTTGAGCACTAAATTTTTTCATCAGAGAGTTGAGTCAAATAAGAAAAGGAACACTATCAGAATTATTAAAGATGAGAATGGGAAGTTTCATGAATCTTTTGATGGCATAGCTACTGAACTGGTTGATTTTTTCAAGAGACTCATTGGCACCCATGACACTCTGGTGAAGGGTTGTTCTGTGGAATAGTTGAAATCCCTGCTGATTTACTCTTTGCCTGATGGAGCTGATGTATTCCTTGTTGGTGAGATCACAAACAAGGAGATTAAGGAAGCACTTTTTAGGCATAGGAATGATAAAAGCCTAGGGCCTGATAGTTACACTTCATGGGTTTTCAAGGTAGCATGGGAGATTGTTTGTAAGGATTTTTTGGATGCTATAAGGTATTTCTTTTAAACATCTTCACTCATGCCTGCTTTTAATGCCACCATTATTGCTTTGGTGCCTAAGTCCTTGAATGCTTGTATGCCTAAGGACTTTAGGCTTATTTCTTGCTGCTCAATAATTTACAAAACAATTACTAGGATTTTGGTCACTAGGCTGGCAGTCTATTTTCCTGGTATAATTTCTCAAAACCAATCAGCATTTGTAAAAGGTCGAAATATTGTTGAAAATACCTTGCTTGCTCAGGAGATTGTTAAGGATACTCTAGGAAAAACCTTTCTCCTAGATGTTCTTTGAAAATAGATCTCCAAAAAGCTTTTGATTCAGTTGTTGGGATTTCTTATTGAATGTTCTTGAAGCTTTGGGTCTGCCTGCCATTTTCTGTGGATGGATTAAAGCATGTGTGACTACTCCTAGGTATTTTATTTCATTAAATGGTAGTTTGGTAGGGTATTTTATGGGAGCAAGAGGAGTGAGGCAATGGGACCCATTGTCTCTTTACCTCTTTGTTATTGTGATGAATGTGTTTTCAATTCTGCTGAATGTTGATGCAAAGAATGGTGTCTTTAAGTTTCATCCAAAATGCAAGAAATTTTGCCTTACTCACCTTTGCTTTGCTGATGATCTACTATTGTTCTGCCATGGGTCTCTTGATTTTGCTATGGGGGTTGTTAGTATTCTTGACAGGTTTTATGAACTCTCTGGTTTAAGATTAAATGCCATGAAATCTGAGTTTTTTACTTGTGGGGTGTATGTGAATAGTTTGGAACATATTCGATTAGCTACTGGTTTCAAAATTAGCCAGGTACCTGTCAGATACCTATGAGTGCCTTTGGTTATTCGTAAACTTACAAGTAAAGATTGTTCGGCTTTACTTGTTATTTAAGAGCAGGATTGATAAATGGTCTAGCAGACATTTAAGCTTTGGTGGGAGACTTCAACTTGTTAAATATATTTTGTTCAGTATTTTTGGCTATTGGAGTAGACAACTTGTCTTGCCCAAAGGTGTTATTAAAGATATTGAAAATCTTTGCATGAGGTTTTTGGAAGGGTAATGCTATTCCAGCAAAGGGGGCCAGAGTGAGCTGGAGTCAGATCTGTAGTATAAAATCTGAGGCTGTTCTGGGCCTGAGGAAGTTAACAGATTGGAGCAAGGCTTGTTGCCTTATGATTGTCAGGAAAATTCTTGCTGATGATGGTTCCTTATGGAT